AAAAATTATTCAGACACCAGATATAATTTTTGATATTTTTTTACTAGTGGGTGCAGGACACTATAGTTCGTTTATGTAAGTGAGGATAGCAAAATAAAGTAAACTGTGACATAATATACCCCAAAATTCTTCATACAGTGAACTACCAGTAAAACTGATAAAAAAAATTTGGGACCAAAAATTATTCAGACACTTTGAACTGACCATGTTTTGCTTAAGTGTTTTTTAATTGCTAATAGGACCTTTTTACACCACAGACTGAACAAAATTAAGCATTGCTTAGCCATTGGTTGACCTAAATTGGTATTACCTGTGTACTTAAAGGGATAGTTCACCCAAAAATAACTCTGAAATTACTCACCCTCGTGTTGTTTCAAACCCGTAAGACCTTCTTTCATCTTCGGAACAAAATTTAAGATATTTTATCATGAAATATGAGGGCTCTCTGACCCTCCCATAGACAGCAAGGAAACTACTACGGTCAAGGAACAGAAAAGTACCAGGATGATCGACAAAGTAGTCCATGTGACATCAGTGGTTCAACTGTAATGTTATGAAGCTACGAGAATACGTGATGACATTGAACCCATGCGCCGTGCCTTGTGTTCAACATCATCACGCCGGATCTGGATCAGCGCCGGGGCCGCCACATGCTTGCGTCATGGTACTGTCGTGAACGCGCATCCACAAGTGACGCAGTAGAGACGAAAATGTGGAATAAAGTCGTTATTTTTGTTTTCTTTGCACAAAAAAGTATTCTCGTAGCTTCGTAACATTACGGTTGAACCACTGTTGTCACATGGACTACTTTGTCGATCATCCTGGTACTTTTCTGGACCTTGAACGTGGTAGTTCCCTTGCTGTCTATGGGAGGGTCAGAGAGCCCTCAGATTTCATCAAAAATATCTTAAATTGTGTTCCGAAGATGAACGAAGGTCTTACGGGTTTGGAACAACACGAGTCTTGTCATATTTTATTACCATTTTCTAAACTATATCAAATAAACTGATAATGTGAGAAATGTTTAAGGTGTCTGAATAAATTTTGGTTTGACTGTGTGTGTGTGTATACATGTGTGTGTGTGTGTGTATAATATATATATATATATATATATATGTGTGTGTGTGTGTGTGTGTGTATGTGTATGTGTATGTGTATATATATGTGTATGTGTGTATATATATATATATATACATACATACACACACACACTCACATTATATAGCATAAGAAGCAATAAACAAGTAAACATTAAAAAATCATACCAACCCTAATTTTTTAAACCGAGTCTGTTTTACATGTAAAAATGGCAGATAAAGGGACGTTAAATCTGATTACTTAATCATTTTTATTGATCATTGATCAGGTATCAATGTGGGTCCAGTAGTTGCTGGTGTAATCGGGGCTCGCAGGCCTCAGTACGACATCTGGGGAAACACAGTCAATGTTGCCAGCAGAATGGACAGCACTGGAGTTCAGGGAAAAATACAGGTAAAACAAACACACCATCATTTTAACAAACCAGCACACCACTCCAAACAAATCTGACTTCATCGGCCTCTTCATCCCAGGTGACCGAGGACGTCTTCCGCCTACTCTCCGGTTATTATCACTTCCAGTGTCGCGGCCAGGTCAGCGTGAAGGGCAAAGGTCAAATGCTCACCTACTTTCTGGAAGGCCGAACCACGCACACGCAATCCAAGAGCCTCGAGCGCGGGTCGAGCCCCTGCATCCGGACCAAACTGGGATCAGCACCCGCTGTCAGCAGCTACGGGGTGAAAAGTCACACCGTAGGGCACGTTAGCACCCCAAACAACAGCATTTTGTACCTGCCCTCTATATCCGTCGACATGGAGATGGAGGTGTGATCGCCAAGAAGACGGGTTCTATGGTGATCAATCGATGCATTAGTAAATCAGAGGCAGGGAGGGAAACTGAGCACAAGGTAGGAGCGAGATGAAAAACGAGGAGAGAAGAGACAGTCTTTGCACATTCAAACGTGCCAAACCGAGAAAGGCCCTCCCCCTTCACGCAAGTACATAATAAGCATGTATGTCTTTCCATGTCCACGTATGCGTGTGTTTTAATGAGTCTTCCCCGACCAACAGGATATCAGAGTCTCCTAAACGGGAGCATGCGATCTACTGCAAAAGTCAGCTTCACACCAGCCGAGGAGACACGTACCCACCGTGTGTGTGTGTGTGTGTGTGCGTGCGTCTGTGTTATCTTGCATCTGAAAATGTCAAGAGATGCCACGGCGATGAATATTTTGAACATGTGAGCGGTGAGGACCAAACGTTTCGTTTAAAACAGCGCTGTATTTTGTACGAGACTGAGTAAGGCCAGTTTCTGAGACGACAGAACATGTGTCGGGTTTTTCCCACCAAGACAAAGGAAAAGCTGGTTGCTCATATTGAGATTTGCTTCGGATAAATTGTTTACATGAAGAACACGTCACGGGTTTACAGACCTGATAGCCAAGTTATTCCCAGCTCTTCGGGTTTCAAGCACTCGTCTGCGGTTGCAGAGAGAGAGAGGCAGAAATACTAAACAACCGCAGTGAATCAGAGACTGCAATGATTTACTTGCGAATGCTAACACTATCCTGTTTTGTAATCATTTACAGAAAGTCGGTCGAGTCTGTGACGTGGGTAAATGTTTAACTTTGCGTGGGTTGAATCAGCACAGTTTTCCTGTATGTGATGCGTGTACGCACTTGGTGCTTGGACAAAACATCTGTATACACTTGCTGCTGCCCTTTGCCCTCTGGGATATCCTTTCCAGTAATAACACGACAACTGATCCCATTGCGTTTAATAAGCGTCAAGGATGTGAAATACCGATACAATTGAGAAGCCAGCACAATCGAGGCTGTCACCGATAATACTATTCACAAAAAGCAACCAAATTGGCTTCCAGTATGTAAACAAATGGCTTAATATACATTATTCCACATCTATTTTGTCGGTGGTGGCACTTCGCTTTCAGATTCTCCTATCAACGGTTACATCTCTCACTGTGCTTGCGGAACGATCTTTACCACACGGTTGAACATGCATGATATTTTAGTGCTGGATGTGTCATGTGCTCTCTAGAGCTTAGGTTAAACATCTGAATTTGAGTGCATCTGTTTCAGAGCATGCGAACGTCTCAAACCTGCTCTCGGTTTGGAAAGCCTCACGAGCCTCATTTCAGATTTCAGAACGATCTTTTGGTTTTCTTTCTGTGCTATTACTGTATCTTTGATAGATTTCCCATGATGCCTAGCGAAAGAAGTTTGGCTTCAAGCATGCCGTTCTGCATGTCCCTCTCAGCATGCCGTAATTCTGTCACGTCGCTCTATTTGATAACTGATTTGTGTCTCTAATGCATGCCTACTGCAAAAACACAACCGAGGGTGAAAAGTGTCGAAGATATGTTGCGAAACATGCTTTAGTAGCACTGCATGAGCCCAGAATAATGACCTTGATGAAACGAACCATCTTTTTTCATTATCCGACGGCGTATCCGCTTACCTGGTCCGTGCGTGGTGCTGTGGGGAAAGCTTTCTGGGAGTTTTGTAGCATTGGCGCCTTGTCGAGCTCTTGAAGTGACTGCCTTTTTATCCAGGGTCTATTGGAGAAAGTGTATTTCTTTGAATATGTGCCAACACATACGGTTACCAACATATCAAACCGTGTTCTTTTCTAGCGCAACTTTGCGACATTGTGTGCATTCGGTTCCATTTCGAACTTAACTCTCATATGGACTGATCGGACCACGTGGGGCTCAATGCCGACTCGCAAATGGGCTATTCCTTTTTATTTTTCGACGTTTAATTCAAGTTAAGCTATGTATTCAGGAATGCTCTCTCTGATTCTATTTTTCGCTGCATTTAGCTTCATTTGCCATGTATGGAATTTCGCATATTTATTAACGTAAAGTAAGGAGCTGTTCATTCGAGTTTCATATATGTAGATTTTTGGTTTTTCTTTAATGAATATGAATGCCAAATGCCAAAATGCTTATCGTATCACTGAATATTTCAGATTCTATGATCCAACAAATGTAGCCGAACAGCTAAATGGTTCTATTTGATATGGCTTAATATGATCTATTTTGACTACAGTGGCCTAACTTACTGCTGTTATGAACATTAATGATATATTAACTTTATTAATGCATAAAGTGTGCACAGTAAAATCATAGAATAGATTTTCATGTCGATTAGATATTTTCATATTTGATACGGGTCAAAATTATTGTACGTATTAAATATATTGTAGAGTAAGCGAAAAGAGTATTTTATTGATGATTTGTAATATTTGTGCTATTTTTGGGGTTGCAATGTATTTATTGCGATGGTTCTATGTGAATGTAAATTTCATATTGAGATCTTTTATACTTGTGTATGCACTGTTCGGGAATAAAATAACAATGAGAGATGACGTGGGGCTTCTGTGTGATGTTTGCAATGATTGTGTTGTTGTGGCCGTGGCCTTGACCTTGAATAAAGGAGACATCAATCTATGGACTGATTGTGAGAGTGAATGACCTGGGAGTTCTGACATTGTATAACTCGAGAAAAACAAATGGGGCAAACAATGAAGATTCAGATCCTCTCATGTGATTTTATTTTATTTTATTTAGACTGATGGAAAACCAGTTTCCTTTCACACAAAAAAATAACGTCTCCTTTTTTAATTTAAATTTAATTTAATAATATTTTATTTTTCATTTATTTTATTTTACAGAAACTGATGGAAATGCTTCCTCTTCCACATAAGTCCATGTCTTCATATTTCATTTTTTATTATTTTTTTATTTAATTTTATTTTGTTGAGTTGAGTTTATGAAGACTGATGGAAAACCAGTTTCCTCTCCCACAAAAGACCATGTGTTCCTGCCTGGGTATTTGCATTAGATTAATGTGTGAAATAAACAGAAGTGCTTCAGAACATCGAGGCTTTAGGAACTGCCGTAGATCCGGCCTATTGTCCCGCTACTCTTTTCTGCATACTTCCAATGCTTTCCGACCAGGAGCTGCATTTTTTCATATACAGGATGTGCCCGTTCCGAAGCATTTTGGGGAACGGGAAAACAAAGAAGTCTTATCAGGCTGGCATGTGTAAGCAGCAAATAGACAGGATGTGACACATCGTACTGCCGGATACAACTTGCAAATGTTATTTATGAGAGAAAACGTAAATATACACAATCACATCAGGGTGTCAGGATGGATGGACCTTTCAACATGACCCATGCTCATCGCCATAGTTACTGATTATTATGGCCTGCTGAGGTCAAATGTCACTCTTAATGTCACATAGTGTCAAATTGACATTACCCTGCAATGTAGGGCCTGCATATTGTAGAATAAACCATCCTTCCCTACCCAACAACATAGGAAAAGGAGTTTAAACAGACATCATATGACTGCAAAATGAATTTCACTTTAAAGGGGTAGTTCACCCAAAATAAAAATTCGGTCATTAATTACTCACTCTCATGTTGTTCTAAACCTGTAAAACCTTCTTTCATCTTCAGAACACAAATTAAGATATTTTTGATGAAATACGAGAGCTCTCTGACCCTCCATAGGCAGCAACGCAAGTGACACGTTCAAAGCCCAGAAAGGTAGCCGACGAGAGCATCACGGATGCATGCGTGTTGTGCTGCTGACGCAGGAGCTGGCGTTCTGACATAGAACTCGGATGCGCTGCGGCTTGTTTACAAACAGAGGAATGCACACGCATGCGTCATAGTTCTCTTGTGAACATACATCGAAGACTGACATGGAAGAGAAGAAATTATTAAATACAGTTTTATTTGCGCACAAAAAGTATTCTCGTAGCTTCATAACATTACGTTTGAACCAGTGATATCACATACACTATTTTAATGATGTCCTTACTACCTTTCTGGGCTTTGAACGTGGTAATTACATTGCTGTCTATGCAGGGTCATATTTGACACATATATTCATCAAAAATATCTTAATTTGTGTTCCGAAGATGAACAAAGGTCTTACGGGTTTGGAACAACATGAGGGTGAGAAATTAATGACAGAATTTTCAATATCTGGGTGAACCATTCCTTTAAAAATGATATCTACTCAACCTCATGTTGTTCTAAACCAAAAAGAAGAGTTAATGCAAATCTTGACATGCTATATTTGAATGAACATGAAGGAGATTTGAGAGTTAAAGCTGAAAGATTTACAGCAAGAAATTACTTTTTGGTCTGGTTGTCACAAATGTTCATATGGATACAGTCACAGAACACTTGTTCGGTTGTACATAAATGAAAAGTTCAGTCATTATCAATGTCTAAGAGGCTCTTTTTCATACAATAAATTTGCATGATGCTCACGGCTGTCAAGTTTCACATTTTGCTTGATTCAAAAGTTTGGGTTTGGTAAGATTTTTAAATGTTTTTGAAAGAAGTCTCTTATGCTCACCATGCAAGGCTGCATTTATTTGATTAAAAATACTGTTAAAACAAATATTATAACAATGCAAAAAAAACCTGTTTCGTTTATTAATATATTTATGGTGATTTATATATTAATATATTGAAATGTAATTGAATCCTGTGATGGCTGAATTTTTAAGCAGCCATTGTTGTTCTGCTTAATATTTTTTTGGCAACTGTAATACATTTTTCAGGCATAAAAAATTACATTTTTTTAACATTATAAATGTCTTTACTGTCACTTTTGTTCAATGTAATGCATCCTTTCTGGATAAAAGTTAATTTGTTAAAAAAAAAAAAAACGTTTGATCTAAGTTCATTTCTCAAATGTGAATACGTGTGATTCGGAGAAATGAATGTACGCATAAAAAACATGCAATGCCTCTCTTCCAGATGTTAAATGTATAAATCACAAATGATCTTGAATTGTGCGCAGGTGAATGGTGTCAGATCTCCGCCTTGTAAACGTCATTAGCAATTAATGTCATTAGCATATAAAAAGGCACCTGTCAATCTTTTCCTTGAGAATGGCGAGTGTCTTCCACATTCCCACAGACTCTCTGCCACAAGGAAAAGTGTGTACGCCTGCTTAGAACCTGACGCAGCACTAAGCACTTTTCCAAGACAAAGACCGTTTTTTTAAACCTGGATGTTTTTATAGATGAGGTCCCAGGATTTGAATTTAAGTTCAATTGCACAACATAAAAGAACAGTTCACCCAAAATGAAAATTGTGTCATCATTTACTCACCTTGTTCTAAACCAGGGCTGTCCAAACTGCAGTGTCCTGCAAAGTTTAACTTCAACCAATTAAAAACACCTGAAGCAGCTAATTAAGCTCTTACTAGGCATAGTGGAAAATACCAGTCAGGTGTGTTGAGGCAAGTTGGAGATAAACTCTGCAGGACACCGGCCCTCCAGGACCGAGTTTGGACACCCCTGTTCTAAACCTTTATGAGTTGTTCTTCTGTTGAACACAATAGAAGATATTTTGATTAGTGTGTGTAAGTTGACGATAGCCATTGACTTCCATAGTATTTTTTTCCACAACTTGGAAAGCAATGGCTACCGTCAACTTTTTGATTATTCTTCAAAATATATTTTATTCTCAAGAGAAGAAAGAAACTCAATACAGGTTTGGAACAACTTGAGGGTGAATAAATGATGACAGAATTTTTATTTCAGTTTTTGGCTGAACTATCCCTTTAAGCACTAGACTAACACATTTTACACTCGTATAAACAATTCTATTATTAGAAAGTGTTTATTTTCCTTTCGGTCATGTCTTCTCTCGCTCTAAAAAAAAAAAGAGAAAAAGATAAGAACATCTCGATAAGTGTTCCATGGACAAACGAAAGTGATACGGGTTTGAAACAGCATGAGGGCGAGAAAATTATGACAGAACATCTTTTTTTTTGTGTGTGCAAACTATCCCTGCTGAATTACCTGCGCCCCTACGCAGAAGTGAACGCAATGGAATAATCAGCCCAGCCTACTGAACCCATTGTGAGTTAACAAGGAGCTTTGCTTATGGAAAATCTCCAGTCTGTCCTGTAGCTCACATACTGTAGCGGTGTCAGATCAGGCCTGGGCTTGCTTTTCCAGTTTTTAACCAAGCCCATTCCTTTCCTCATCTCTCAAATGATAATCTCTGCCCTCCAGCACATCAGCGCTCACAATGACTTTCATACGAAGATGCTCTTGCTCACTCCCATTTTTCCTCCCTTCAAACGCCTTGCCAGAACTTGTCTTTTCCCCCTTTTTAACCGTTGGTGCCCTCTTACTGGAAACTGTAAACGTTTCCTGCTAAATGAAGATGTGTGCGTATTCTGTGTACATGCTGATGAGTAAGGCGTAGGAGTGTTTATTACCTGCGGGGAGGAAATGACTCATGACTTTTTTTATGGCTGACATACCAAGATAAACAGCAGCGCTAACAGGACATCAGCTTGCACACTTCAAACCCATCTGCTGTTGAGATCACAATGACACAGCTACTCGATTGGATAAGATGGCCTCAGATCAGCATGGGGCTAATGATCAGTTTCCACTTCCAGTTAGCCAACTGAACAATCGTGACAAAACACTTTCACAACAGCTTTCAGGCATACAGTACAGGGCTATTCAGTGCAGACAGCATATCTGATAAGAGGATCCAGTGGTGGACTCAAAGACTGGATTTGTGATGTTTTGTGTGCACTGATGAAAGTGTGTTGTATTTTGATTTTACGCAAGGTACGGCGTGCTCTATTTTAAGATCATAAAACACAAATAAAACTGTCAAGCACTGATTGTGTAATTAGTGTTCAGATAAATCACTGTTGAAATGCTGAACACATGTTCTTTGCATTATACACGAGTTTCATATGTTGCTATTTGATATGCTGATAAACTTTTACCTAATATAAAATTAACCCAGCCATGAAAAGTAGCTAGTTTTAAACATTTAAAACTCTTCAACACTTCAACCCTGCTAGAAAAGTTACTGATATTCAAACAAATGTTTTTTTCTTAAATGTATGGAAAACTTAAAGTTTGTCAATAAAAAGAACATAAGTTCAAACTTCCAAAGCTCAATTTAGGCTAAATTTTGCAAACCTGTTACCAATCTATCATAGTTTTTGGGTTATATTTCATCACCTTGGAATTATAAGGTTCTATCTGACATTTTTGTCAAAATTGAGTTATTCACATATTCTTATTCTGTGACTTATTTACATTATGTGATGTTTTTACTACTTAAGTTGTGTACATTTTGGACTTTTATGAAAAAGCATATGGAATGCAAAAACTTTGAGGCTCAATATCCCAAAACCACTTTATTTTATTTTGTTTTATGTTATTTAAAAAGAAAAATCACAAAACAGAGAACTTTGACTTACATTCAGGAAAGATTTTCTGAACGTTATTAA